TCGGATGAAAACAGAGTTAATCCAGAATGCCAAAGAACATCTGGAGTTAGCAATGCGTCAGCGGAACGTGTACAACGAAATGATGCAAGAAGCTAAAGTTATTAAGTTATTTGTGTGATAATGTTTTTACATGCAACTGCTATAACTTGTTTTGAAGATTGTGGAGCGGTTTCCAGTCATCTGATTATTCCTGTGCATTAATGTGATAGAAATTCTAATGAAATTGGTTTTTAAAATGTTATCTTTGTTTTGTTTTAGGATCAGATTCTACAACACCAGCAGATAGGGCCTGTCTTTTAATGGTACTGCTCACTATGCATTCGATTTCGCCCAGCAGATGTTTTTGCCATCCGATCCGATGCAAGCTGATCCCATTTACTTTCTTACACCAAGGAAATGTCAGTTGTTTGGGATTTGCAATACATACAGGCCTCACAAAACATGTATGCATCATGTACAATTTTTTTTTTTTTTGTAATAATTACTTTTGTACAAAATAACGTTATTTTAAAAAGAAGCAGAAACATTTTTTTTTTAAATGACACCAACTATTTTATTTATTTATACTTACATTTCATTTATTTCATTCTCAGGTTAATTACTTGATAGATGAAGCTGTCATAATTAAGAAGGGGGCTGAAGTAATGATTGATATGCTCCACCATTACTTGGAAAACTGGGAACTTGGAGAACGCAAGGCAAACCTGCACGCCGACAACTGCTGTGCACAAAATAACAACAACTTCATGATGGCATACCTACAGTATGGTGCATTGTTACTAAGAAGCACATGGAAATCTCATTAAACTTCATGTTGACTGGCCATACGAAGTTCTTACCAGATGGTGCATTTGGGCAAATAAAAGAGACTGAAGACAACCAAAGTAGACTGCATTAATGATTTGGCCATTCTGGTCGACAACAGCAGCACAATGAATGTGGCTCAAGTAGTCGCCCAGGAGGATGGAAGTGAACTGTGCATGGATCACAGACCTTGATTTAACCCTTTGACTGCCATCTTCGCATTTATGCGAATTCGAGTCCCTGGTGTGTGTGCAGTTTTCGCATAATTGCGAATAGCCTCACTGCTACAGCCCGTGCCGTCTTCAGAAAATCGGCGTCAGAACGACAGCAACACCTCTAATCAAAGCACATTGTTGTTCGTAAGAAAGCTTATAAAATTGCGGACATTTTCATATAAAATTTGATGGTAGTGTTTATTATAAAAAATTGTGAATTTCTACATTGAAAGTTCAACATGCCGAAGAAGTTATTGCAGCTGCTATGCTGGATGACGATGCATCCGATTTTGAAGCTGGCATAGGAACAGAAGAAGATGATGATAGCCTAGGCCTAGAGCTGGACGACGATGTCAAGGAAAGGGAAGGGGAGAAGAATAGTGATGGTGACAGGGGTATTGATGATGATTTTCCTGGGCTTGCCGATCAAAACAATGATCTAGCTGCTCCTGCACGGCCAGGCCGGCCAAATAGACGACGAGGGAATGCTCCTAGAAATGTAAACACAATGGATCCTCCGATAGGTACGTTTTACTTATGTTCATCCTTTGTTTGACATAGGCTAGGCCTAGCCTAGCCTAGCCCTAGCTTGGCTGGGCAGATTTATTATTGGCTTGGGATTGCCTATCTATGCCTAATTTTTAATACTGTCTGTCTACATACATAGGCAAAAAAATTTTAGTAGGGAGGACATGGCATGGGCTGGTTTGTTACATTGTGCCTTATTATTAAGGGCCTACTGTAGGCCTTGGCCCTCATAAAAAATTATTAGATTATCCACTTATCCAAAAATAAAAACTGATGATTTTAGCCTATGTACATGCAGACAGTACTAAATGTAGGCTTAGGCAATCACAAACCTAGGCCTAGGCGACAGGTCTCCTGACAGTTTTTACGCAAGTGTTTATTTCTGTAGTGTGTGAACTCTCCGGTAGTCCAGGTTGTGTTTAGGATGCCCGCTTTATATTAGACAGAAAGCAATAAATTATTATTATATTATTATTTTTACAGTAATAATATTTGACTTATAAAATCATAATAATAATTAAAAATGACACACCAAACCAATAAAAAAAAAATCTTACCATAAACACAACACACAGATTCAAGTAATGACAAACATGATGAAAAATGTGCATCCGCCTTGAAAGAAAACATAAGACTAAGATTCGAACAATTCGAACATTACCATTACTCAGTGCCCTTTCGATATTCGATCCAACATTGTTGCCATCAAACCCAGATGAAATTATGTCATAAAAAATGAATCTGTGAGGGTTTTGGGGGAACATTACTTGAGCACTGTGTACGACAAACAACAACTAGAAGCCGAATGGAATACCATGAAATTTCATATGAAGGATCTCAAGAAATGTATAAAAAAAAAAAAAAAAAAAAAAAAAAAAAGGTGCGACTCCAACTGCATGGTTTTTCAATCATATCATGATGCAGAGGCAGGGATTTCAAGCACTCCTACCTCATACGTTGAAAATTATAGAAGTTGTGCTGACCATGCCAATTAGCAATGCGTGGCCTGAAAGAGGAGCAAGTAAATAAAAAGTTAGTGAAAACTCGACTGAGGAGTAGACTAAAAATGACATTCTTGGCAGCCTACTTCAAATATCTATCAATGGACCTGCCTTGGATACAGAGGAATGTGATGCTCTGATCAAACAGACGACAAAACAGTGGTTAAGTGTTAAGAGATACAAGTTGGCCAGAGGGCAGAAGACTGAGCTCCACAACCATCCAGAGGTCAACACTGCAATGACAGAGTGCAGGGATATGTCAACACAAACTCTATCTGAACAGGAAGAAACAGAGAAGCAAGATGAAGCATTTGCCCGATTAGGGATATCAGGGAATGTGTTGGCACAAAGAAGTGATAGTGACAGTGGTAGTAGTGATGATGATGATGATGTTTGGTGATCATCATCAGTAATTATGAGTACAAACAAGTGACACCAGAATATCTCTACTTGTTTATCTTTTTTTTTTCTTACACAACATTTTATTAAACCCTGAAAATGAAAAGACAGCAGGGTTGTCTGATGATTAAGAATGAATGTGGTGAAGATGATTGTTCACCATTTTTGAGGTATCTTTTCACAGAATAAAAAAAAAATCACAATGTAGATCATCATTCTATATTTATCATTTATTATCACAACATTTTTTAAACACTGTTTTCTGTAAATACCTTGAATGAAGACAGCATGGTTGTCTGATGATTAACAATGGTGAAGATTGTTCACCATTTTTGAGGTATCTCTTCACAGAAAAAAAAAAATCACAATAGAGAAAATCATCTATTTATCATTTATTATCACTACATTTTTTAAACACTGTTTTCTGTAAGTAACTTGAATGAAGACAGCATGGTTGTCTGATGAATAACAAGAATGGTGATTGTTTACCATTTTTGAGGTGTCTTCACAGAATAAAAAAAAATCATAACATAGTCTAATCATACTAAAATCAAAAATTGATGTCTTTCCAACTGACAGGGATGTGTGTGTTTACACAAAGTAATTGAGGCAGTGACAGTGGAGTGATGGTGTTTGTTTGGTGATCCTTGGTAATAATGATTATGGGCTATTAAAGTACAAAGGAGAAGACAGCATGGGTTGGGTAGGTGTCTGATTATTAAGATGGTTGAAAATTCAATTGTTCAACATGTTTTAGGTATCTTTTCACATAATTAAAAAATAATTATATAAATATAGAATAATCATCTACTAAAATTAAAATGATGACAATGATGTCTTTCCAATTGACAAAAAGTACCTTTATATACTTTTATACTATTATTTTGAAAAACTATGTACAGGCCTGGTGGTACTGTGATTTTTTTTTTGGATAATTAATAAAATTCACTTTTATTATAAATGAAATTATTACTTTTGTATTATTATGTTCATTTTATTAGTACTGTAC